ATTCGACGGAATATTCACGGGGGAAGAAAAATGCAATTCTTTTTTTACTTGACCTTAAAACATAACAATATATATGTATAGTACAAAAAATTTACGAAAACAAAAAAAAAATAGCTTTTGAATTGCATATAACGCTTGAATAAATAGAAGTGGTAAAATAAAATCCGTATTCTAAAAATATAATTTTCCATAGTACAAATCAAAATATTTTACACATAATATTATACACACACAGTCCGAACTACAAATTACAGACACATTTCAAATTTCCTTACCTATTTATTATTTAAATATCTCTCTCACTTCATAAAATATAGTTAAAATCCCTAACTAATCTATCTCTATAGTTCCACACCGATGGACAATATTTTATTAAATCAGGAATGTCTTTACCATTTAATTGTTTAATAACGTCTTCCATAGCCAATACTTCTTTAGGAAAATATTTTTTCGGAATCCCGATTGTATGGGACAGACAGCTATAAAATAAATATTATTTTCTACATGTACAATAATGGGACAGATAGCTATAAAATAAATGTTATTATATGGTATGGCCACTTAATGCGGATGGATGAGAACCGCTGGCCAAAGAAAATTTATAACTATATGCCACCTGAAAGAAGGAAGCGTGGAAGGCCAAAGAAGAAATGGATAGAGGACGTGGAGGAAAGCATAGCAGCCAGAGGGCTTCGTGAAGGAGATTGGATAGACAGGGAGCAGTGGCTTTTGGGTGTTGAGGATATGACTCCTTAAGTTGTATAAAACCCAAATAATAAAAAAAAAAAAAAATTTTCTGCATGATTTAAATTATAAAGGGAACGTATTTGGACTTGATCCTGGTTATATATATTATAATTTATGTACTTAACATAGTTAATTGGATTGTATGAGTTTTATCCACAACCTCTAATCAATCCTCGTATCTACATCATCGAACCACGGCTTTACATCTGGGACTTCAGGTTGGCACCTTTGTGTCTGGGAACATCTTCCTCTAAGTGCTCTGTCAGGTTATGATTGGTGGATAACCAATAAACTCCAACCAAGTCCTAATAAACCAATGGGCGTTCATTGATGACCAAGCTGTTTTACGCCCTTTTAAACTCAAACAAACAATAAATAAGAGTTTTGACTATAGTTTACTCAATAAAATATATCAATTGGTGGATTATGAAATATATTTTTCGAAAAATACCGCAGTTCGGTCCAACTGATCTATGTTCCGGTTTTGGATTTACAATAAAATGCAGTCAGATTCTGTATGATTGCTCTATTGTTGGCTAATAAGAAGTATTCTTTAATATTGAGGCAGAGCTAGATGGCTAAAAAAAATACCTTATGTAGCAACTCATTCTAGACGTTGTTCATCTAAAACCGCTTTATGAATAATGAAGAGATTAATATTCCGAAATCCTTCATGTTTTGTTCTTAGTTTTTGTACAATATCTTTCAAAAGAGGTAAAAAAGAACAAGTCAAGGGTTACTAATTTTTAGTATGGGCACACATAAGTATTGTTTACTTTCCTGCCTATACTTGGTAAGGAAAGTATTGTGATCGGGTCAAATTTCCGATGTGTGGTTTTCGTCGGAAATTTTTCCCAGCCCCCTGAGTCCTAAAAACATATTTTCAGCGATTGGTTTGTCTGTCTGTGCAAATATTATCTCGGGAGCTAGCAGATTAATATAGTTGCTTCTTTTTTTATTTTGTAGAGTTTTGACGACTGATACGAATTGGATGCTCTTTGCGCAATAGCGGCCGCGCAATAAGTGAAAAACATATTTTTCTATAGATTGCAGCGCAAAAACGGCTCTAACGATTTTGATGAAACATACCTATAATTTTCTAATTAATGTCATTTAAGTTTTGTACATGTACTAAAATCCCGAGAAAATTCAGGTAAAAAAGTTATAAGGTAAAGAAATAGGTTTTGGGGTCTTATTCAATAAATATATATTATATGTTAAAATTTACATACAAACTTATGAAAAGTAATTAAACTACTTAAAAAAGAAAAAAAGTATTAGCGATGATGCAGCGTTTTCTATTTTCTACACATTTTTTAATTTATTATTTTCCTACCTATACTAGGTAAGGAAAGTATTACAATCAGGTTAAATTTCCGATGCGCGGTTTTTGAAGGATCTGCACGTTTCAGAGTCCCACAAAACTATATGAAATTCGTTCATTTCGGACAACTATAAACGAAGTTACAGCTATTCAATTTCGTGTTATGAGTTCAAATCCCGGTGCCAGGAAGGGGTGAAAGAGAGAGAAAAAAGAAAATTAAGTAAAAGTAATAAAATCTGGTGCCCGAATCTCACAAGTTTCACTATTTCCTCTACTTTTAACAGAAATCATTCTCTTACAAAATTGGGCTATGACAAAAAGTTTTTGATTAGCAATATTGGAGTGTATTGAATTTTATACGCTGATCTTCCACAAGCCGGTTTACATTGTTTTAGTTTATCAAAGAAATCGTACTCAAATCTTTTTTTTTTTATCAATGTTCAGGAAAATAAATCTAATTTAATTTTTTTTTTTAATGGACATATTTAAAGATATAAAAACTGTTCTGAAATAGTTTGGAAAGTCGTTTAGAATAAACACACCAGATTTTTTTTTTTTATCGTTGTTAAGGGAGTATCAAAAATATTCCAAACAACGAAGTAAGCTTCAGCTTTTTACGATTCCAAAATTCATAAAAAATACTCTGAGGTTTTAAGATTGAGGTCTACAACAACGATACTTTTTCAGAGATTTATTTATTTATTTCATAAAAGAAGGAATGATAAGATAGTTGGGTCATGTCCAAAAAAATGTAACATAGGAAGGACCTCTAAAACGATGATAGAGGGACACTCAAGTGAAAGAAGAAAAAGAAGCAAGGCTAGACTTCGTTGGCTGTAAGACATTGAAAACGATCTTCGAAGTCTAGGTGTAGTTGAATGGAGAGAGGCTGACGAAGACAGGTCGGTTTGGAGGAAGATCGAAGAGGTGGCCAAGGTTCTACAAGGACCATCGAATAGCGCCATCGAATGATGATGATGATTCTGAAAATTCCCTTAACTTCAACTTATTTTAACATGATGAAAGAATAAAACAATTTTTGTAATGAAGGAATTACGAATTGAATACAGTAAAAACCTTTTCTGATGATATGTGTGAAAATAATGATAGGATTTACTGAAACATAACAAATGTTGCTTTGGGAAAGCTATAAAAATATAAATTGAAGTGCTCATGGCAATATAATATATATATATATATATATTGTTTTCAGTGTTTGATATTATTTATTGAGAAAAAATATATTTTACCTCAATTAAGGGCATTGAATATTTGAGATGTAAGAGACTCATTCATAACATAATTCACACAAAAACAATAGAAAAATTATAACAAAGGAAAAGAAAATTTAGTAAAACAGAAGAAATAAATCAGAGACAACATTAAATAAAAATATAAAACATATTCATACTTATTTACAATATTTACACTCAGCCGGGGTTGCTCCAAGTCGGGCCCTTTTCCCCACGTGTGGAGGATAAGGCAAAACTCTAGGAGATCCCAGCGCTTCTCTCTCGGCCACGTCAATATTATGGGTATCCAGTGAAGACTGAGAGAGGGCACTAAAGCCACATACGCTCATGGTTTGAGTGCGTGCTGCCTTTGCCAGGATTCCAATGTGTTTACAAAAAATCTCGTGGCCACTGTCGTTTCAAACTTTGAGAAGGATTGTAGAATTGACTGGAACTGGATAAGGATTGTGCTAAGGTATTATGATGATGGATTATGTTCTGATGAAAATTTGAGAATCGGGGTGGAATAACATCTAGGACATAAGGGATCTTAAGGTCATGATGAAGAATTTTGTTTGTAACATAATAAGGAGCATTGACTATCAATATAAAAATTACTGAATTATTTCAACCCCATTAAATCAACCTGTCTATATGGAAAGAACTGTATGGAGGCCGTATTACAGCCGGCGTGAGAATTGAAAGTTGCACTTTGTATGAGAATCATATAGATATATGAAATGAAATGAAAATATATTTTATTATTCTGGGACTGTTGTCCCTGTAAAACAAATTATAAGTACAGATTGCATACCTGTGTGGCCATAAATAAATTATATATTTGCAATGAGAGTTAATCAAAAATAAAAATATAGAAGACAGAGAAAAAGACACGCAAATTGTACATACATATATAAGACAGACATAGGAAACTAGATAGTTCTCTTAGGTATATTTCATAATCAGTCGGATTTAGAAAGGAGTAGATGTTTAAAGATGAAAGGTTTGAAAGAGGAAACTGATTGTGCGTGTCGAATATCAGCAGGGATGGAATTCCAGAGGGAGCCGGCTTGAATTGCTAAAGGATTTGTCAAACGCAGCAGTTCGGTGAGGAGGAGGATAGAGGTCGGAAGTACGAGATCTAGTAGGACGGGATTCGATGGAGTATTTAAATTTTAAGCTGTAAAATATATAGAAGGGTCTATGAGTTCTAATGATCTGGAACAGAAAGGACTACGTCAACTTGGTGGTAATACTGGTTTAATATGCGGATCCCTTGAGATTCCGAAAACAAATCGTAACAAGCGCAATTCATTAGGCGTTTAAGTTTGGCCTCGAAATCTCCCGCGAGTCCACCATACACCATACAGCCATAGTCAAGTTGAGGAAAACAAGGGAGGAAAATAGGAGTTGATGGGACTTATATGGAAGGAGATAACGTAGATGATTGAACTGTTTTAGGGTGGAGATAGTGCGACGGGAAATTGGGAGATGTGTGGTTTATATGACATGATACTGACTAGTTCAAAAAAATAATTCAAGACTGATAATTACAAAGTAATTGACTGATTATATATAATATTAATATGCACTTTATAAAATATAGATTCATCGAGTACGTATAGGATGTGGGAATTGTAGAATAAATATACATATTATTTTTTTTAATATAATTTTATTATTTTTTTGTTAATTATAGGCCAGATAACATAGGTATATAATAGGAACAAAGGGAGTTGTAGTGTTGAAAGTTGCAATGGTACGATCTATCTGATCAGTGGTGGCCATGTCCCTTGTGGTAGTAGACTGGGACGGGGTGGTAGGAGTGGAGGACGTAGTTCTGGTAGGAGGTGGCGTGTCCGTGTCCGTGGCCGTGACCTCCGGCGCCTCCGTGTCCGCCGTGCTCGTACTCTCCGGCCATGGCGAAAGCGGCGAGGAGGATCATGACGAAGAACTGGATGAACAGTGGTTAGTGGTTAGTGGTTAGTCATTGGTTAGTATTCTTATATCACATTAGAAATATATATTATATAATAATAATAATAATAATAAAATTGTAAATTATCTCTCTGTTTATATTACACCTATGACTAAGATAAGGTGAAGGTCAAATCAAGTATAATTTATGAATGTATTGATCTAAAATATTTACAATTCAAAACAGTGTTAGTATAGTATACTGAGTAATTTAATATGGTTTAATTTGGTAAAATGGTCTGTAGAGATTAAATTATAGTTAATGTTTAATGAAGATAAGTAAGAGAATTACAGATATAATTTATATTAAATGAATCACCTGGTTCTTATGTTTCCTTTGTTGGCCCAGCTAAGAATATACTGTTCAATTAATATTTTTTTAGATTGATTTTTCGGCGAAATTAATTGCTTCTAAAGAACTTTTATTTAATTTTTTTTTAAATAATAGGTCTGTATAATCTTCACTGTAAAAAAGTTTGACTTCAAAATATCAGGGGAAAAAAAAGAAAACTCGAAATTTCATTTCATATCCTAGTTCTATGTGATGAAGTATGGTTTGTTTACCACAACTCACCCACTGGCTTAGTTACAGAAATGATTGATCGGCTCATGAGCTGATTCATTTCGTATTGCTCAGTGAGTGAAAAAAAATCATATCTTGCTTAAGTGATTCGAATGAAACGAGTGGCTTTTAATAATCTTTTTTTAATTTTAAGAGGTGATTCGTTACATGGGGAATGTTTAGTCATTTTTTTAATGAATCAGTGAATCATACATGGTAAACAAATTCATAAAGTTAGGGTTTTTTTTGTTTTTTTTTTTGAAAATTCTATATTCAGGAACTGTAATTCCGAATTGAAAATTCTGTTTGCCATTTTTAAACATACTGTGGTCGTTTTCAAAGAAAACGGTTTTTCCCACTCGCAACTATGTGTTATCTTGGATTGATCAGTTTGTGGAAGACTCCGATAATTTCTTATACACAGAATTAACTAATAATATCGTTTACGCTTAACTACTGTAAGGCTTTAGTCACAACATACAGATATCAACATATCAACAAAAAAGAAATTTGATCATTTTTTTTCCCACATAGTTTTGCAATATTATTCGACGTTACGTCACAAAATGAGACAAATGATCAGTCAACAAACTAAAGATTTAGTGAGTCGAGAACCGGTTCAAAGAGTGATTTCATGTCATTCACCTCGACATGACCAAACCACTTCCTTATGCATTGCAATTAACTACTTTCATATAATCAGACCTGGATTAATATCTCGAGTGATGAAAATTGTCAATTTTAGTTTGCAAATAATATTTGGATTTATTAATATTTCCCAACGAGAAATTTTCAATAGAGGGCAAAAAAAAAGTTTTTAAAACTTATTATTATTGACTGATACTTGGCATATTTATTTATAAAAAATATATCATAAAAACATTTTAAATAGTTGTATTTGGTGGCATTGATCACTACAACTCGCTAAGGGTTGTATTAAGCCCCAAGAGAGTTACAAGTGTGGTAAGGACAATAAGAGGAGCTGATGTGGTCAGTACCAACCATCAACCGCCAGGGTTACTCCACATAAACTAATATTATTCATAGCCATCCAAACTCAGGGCTTGATAAGTTATCTCAAAGTCTCAGGTTTATGGTAAAAGTTTGACTTAGTATTCAAGTTCCATTAATTGAATTCTGGGAACATAAAAAGAAGGTAACGTACTGAGTTTTAAGACGTTATATGAAACAATCCAAACTCATTATTCATTTGTCAAAATAATAAGCCGGATTCTACTTTAACATATCAATGAACGATTTGAGAAAAGCAGGTGTGTCTTCAGAGGCTGATAAAATATCATTTAAATAAGATGAAATTAGTTAAAGTATTCATCTTCCACTTGTTCCTAAAAGTTGAAGAAATGGTGAAGGTAACTTGTGCGACTCCTTCGTTTATGAGTACAGCAGTTATTAAAATATGCTATAGTGTAACATTACAAAAAATAGGCTGAAGGCGGGGAATGATTGTTATTTTTCTGTGGCAAAACTACACAGCTCACGCCTCTTAAACTAGAATCTATAAAACCATTATCTTCCCCACAGTTCTTTATGGATACGAAACTTGGCCGCTTACATTAAGGGATGAGCAAAGTCTTAAGGTTTTTGAAAGTAAAGTATTTTGTAGAATATTCGGACTAAAGAAGGATAAGTTAACCAGAGGCTTTAGATGGTTAAACTACGCCGAATTGCGTGAACTTTATCCGCAATATATTAATATAATTGAGATGATTACATTACGACGAATCAAACGGTTTTGTAAAATTATTGGGTTTAGTAATGAAAGAATTCCTAAAAGGTTAATATTTGCTGTACCGAATGGTATACGTCTGTATTATTTATTATTACTATAATTAAACCTTAAGATACTAAAGATATCCCATAATGAACATAATGTGGTTTATAAAAGAAGGATATACTTCTTATGAGATATCTTAACGAATAGAGGAGTTTCCACAACAAGAAGGATTTCCGATGCAATGTTATACTACAAATATTTTCGTTTGGAATTTGTGTGGAATAATCCATAACGAAATCAACAAACATGAAGAACATGTGAATTTTATTCCTGTGCTTTTATATACTTTATTTTCACTCAAAATTTTACTGATAGTTATTGCTATTCCAATACGAAATTTAGAATAAGGATATATGAAAGATAAATATTTATATTTTGTGTATTCTTTGCTAATAAAAAAAAACCGAATGATTATAAAATAATAGTTTTCGATCCAACAATTAATCTGAGAATAGAAATAACAATATTTGATACGAACACAATTAAATAAATAATTAACAAACTTGGTAAATCTTACAAAAAATTCATTGTTTGAATGTTAAGTTACAACTGTTTGAAAATATATATACTTTGTCCTGCCTTACCCACAACATAATCCCTGCATTTTTAGTACAGAAAGGAAATTTATAATATTCTGAAAATTCCAGAATTTGGATTAAAGGTTATATCGATAACTTAGAAATGTGGATTTTTGAAACTTTTATGGTATGATAAAAAAGGGAGAGGGTCACCTAAATTTGAGTGACGTTCTTTTCGTTCGAAGTGAAAAATAAAAATCGTATTTATAACAAAAAAAAAAATAATGGAATCAATATTCTACTGGTAAATATAAAATATTATGAGATATTAACTTGTTAATAAATAAAAAAAATAAAGGAGGAAAATATGAAATAAAAAAAATTGATAAATACATCATGTGATCATTATGAATCGTACCTTTTTTTACATCTTGATTTTTGAAAATGATTTTATAACCATAAAGTTATAAACTGGTAAATTTTTAAAGGAATTTACTAAATCTGGCTGTTCAGAACAGTTAAATTTTATTGAGCCAGTTACTATTTTATAGGTTTTATCTTCAAGGTAAATTAGACTTCCTGTATTAAATATATATCGTATGACACGGATTACAATATGGAAACTTGATTTGTCTTGAAGATACCTATCTATAAAACATAAAATGGCAACCTATAAAATAGAAGAAAATATATAGTTATAATTTTCTGTATAACGTTTCACTTCATTGCACAACTTTGAAAATACTTCAGTAACTACATGAAGATTTTTAAGCTGGAAATTTTATCGTTCATCCTGTGGAACAAGGAAATAACTTCAAATCATACAACTGTTATAAGAAAGACAAGATAATTACAATTATTATTATGTAAATCACATAATTTTTATAAATGATTGTATTAGTGTAAAAATTCTTCTATCCATTCAAATTTTGATTATATTGTGCTATGCTTATTTGTATTTTTGACAATCTTAATGTGATAAAATATTTATCAATAATTTTATAATTGCGTTGTTGTTCCTAAGCAATATAGTATTAAGAGTTTGAATTCGTATTTATTTTTGGTATATATACCTTTATCGGTCAAGAAATCGTTCTTTGTATCTTAGGAGGGTTTAATAAATAATAGGCTGTTTGTAATTTTTTCTAAAAAGGTATAATTTAAAAAAATATATAAATTTTTTTTAGTTTTTCATATTAGACCGAAAAATGTGAAATGAAATGAGGGATGATGGGGGATGTGAGATGTGATGATTCTGTTGTGATGTTTAGTAGTGATGGTGTTCCTTCTTAACCAATGGTACTGGATGGTAAGCGTGGAGGTTGTTGTTCTGGTGAGAGTAAGCCTTTTCGTGATGCTTGTAGTGATCCTGAGCCATGGCTCCACCAAGAGCAACGATGGCTACGACGAGCATGACGAAGAACTGTCAAAGAACACGGAACAAAAACATCTTTAATGTCGATATCTTCATCGAGCACGTTAGTAACGTTAGTGGAATCGTTAGCGAATTTTCGGGTTATACCATGATGCCGTGGATTAGTTTAGAAGAATATTAGTTTGGTTATGATTTATATGTATTGTGAATTTCAGGTTAAATCATTATATAATACGAATGTTATAGTAATCATAATATAGTAGAGCGGTTAAGAGTTTAGTGTTGGATTTAGAAATAATTTATTTGAAGTAGACACCTGAATACATGCAAGAAAGTTCTATAAAATTAGTAAAATTAAAATATTAATATAAAAAATTATTTTAAATTTAATATAATTCTAAACACTTCTTTGTCTATCCACTTGATGATTTTCACATCTGTATGAAATAAAACCTTGTTTTCTTGATATTCAATTTGATTATTTTGACTGAATTTAAAAACGCTGAGTTTCATCATTCAACATTTTAATACATTTCAAAAGTATGATAATAGGATACATCATTATGTAATTATATCATTATAATTGATGGTTATCTTTTTTAACTCTTAAAAGTTAATTCTGTGAATATAATTATATTTCTTAACCTTTTTGAAAATTGAAAATATTTTAAATAATTAAAACCATACTTTCTATATATCAATTTGATTTCTTTGACTAAATGAAATTTCTCATATTCGACATTCGATAAGTTTGTTGAGATTTAAGTGACAGAAATCATAATATCCCCTTTTATATTAAACACCTGATCTAAATATTATTAAATAGAAACCAACTAACGAAAACCTTTAGTCCCAAATGATTAAGTACCCTATTAATTTATATTTTTTAATCTCAAGTTTTAAATTGTCCAAATAAAAATATCTTTGCAAGAAAAGTCTATTGCGTAAATGCTATTCGATTCTCATATCTTACATTAGTATGATTCGTTCCAATTTTTCGTTGATGTTCTGAAGTAACTAATAATAGAAATATCATGATTAATATATATCTGTCGTATCGAGAAGATAATGTATAATATGAGTTGAATGACCAATAATTTACTATATTTATAGATATACTTGAATTTTCTTAAAATATTTTTTAAAAAATGCAACTGTTAGGTAAGATTCCTACTCATTTATCTTCCGAAGAGACATGAAATAAACACTTGGCATTGACGACCAACGAGTAATGGACGGAAATAGAACACTTTCTATGATTTCATTTTCGTGAGTTATTCTGCTAATAATTGCTGTATCTATTTTTTACTGGTGATGCGGCTGTCGGAATTCTTATGAGACACGAGATGTTATCGCAAGCGTGTGAGCTCAATTTGACTTGCACATCAACTTCGGAGTTACTGACCTTCAGTTAGAACAACACGATTTTAATTCTGCTCTAAGAGTAAAGTGAACATGATATTCATTTAAGATTTTAAAAAAAAAAATAAAATTCTATAACAAAAAAGGAAATCCAATCATGCATAGCGCTGAACGAATGAGTCTAACTAGCCGAGCAAACGCCTTTTTAATAATAATTTTCTTTTTGTTGGAGGATGTTGAAAAAATAGTTTTGAAATTTGAATTCTCTTGTCAAATGTGTTGATCAAGATTGGTTAGGGGTCGCCAGTGGAGCGGAAATTCGTTGCGGCATCTTCATGAGCGGATTGGACGATTAAGAACAATGCTAATTCGCTCTCTCGAGTTAAAAGGGGTAACTAAAGGTCTAGGAGAAAAAATGAAAGTATGTATGCATGGGGAAAACATTAACAGAATGAGTACATTCCTTATTGATATTACTACTTAAGGCTGAGTGAGCCCGATTTAAAATTTATGACCGACTTTGGCACTTATTATTTTTATTAAGATATTCACGTATTGAGGAGGCGTACATATTTTAACGTTATTTTTTTACACTCTCTGTCTCGAATCAGATTGGACTTAGTTACAGCTTTTGATGAGATTCGTAACATCTCAAATCATCTCGTCTTCGATATGGTAATTCATAGAAAAAAAAAATATGCACATTTATGTTTTCCTGTCAAATTCAGTAGTAGACCACAGATGTTGTAATCTTTCGACATAACCCGTTTACCGCTATCCTTCATTATGCTCGTTTTTTTTTTTTTTTTTTGTATTCTCTGTTAAAAGACTGATCTACTTTCTTCGGGTGAAAGGTTCGAAACACCGCAATCCTTACACTGGTTATTTTTGTAATTAACTCTCAATAATTAACAGATCGAGAAAACAGTAGTTGTATTGGACTTCGAGGAGGGATAAGTTAGGAAAAACTATAACGTTGTTACCGAAACCATAAAAAATTGTCTTTTGAAAGCAACATAACAAAGAACACATGGCAAAAGTAATCAATTATCTACAGCTTTGTAAAGATTTTTTCGTTTCTTAATTTTTCTCTTTAAGATGTCGTTACATAACGGCACGTTCTCAAGGTTATTAATTATTTATTTAGAGTATGTAATAAATATTTTTCGATTTGAAACCTTATCAGAAAAAGTTATAACAACAATATATACTTTTATAATTACTACCATGAAATATAAGACATAGAATGTATAATATATTATATTTGATTTTTAAAAACTTTAATTTAGGTCTTTAGGACGCCGCAAGTGTTACATGCGAGACGAATGTGTTATGCGGGAGTTACTTCGGCGCAAGAATTTCCTGTAAGGTTCTTTTACACAGCTTTTAGATTGAACATTTGTCCCTGCATTGTACTTTAAAATAATCTTTATTATGTGTATATAAATATATATATAGCCAAATGTAATTTTAGAAACATGACATTTTTTTAAATTTTATTAAGATGAATGAAATTTCTATAGCTTGCATTTTAATGAATGATCAAATATTTTAAGAAGAAACATTATACTTTATATAAAAAATGAAGGTGTACGACTAATGAATTTTGAATAAAACATATGGAAATAATTAATTTCTGATATGTGACCATACGATAAGAAAAACAGTTGATAGTGTGTTCGAGTGTTCAGCTACAAGCTCTAAATTTGATAGAACTAAATTAAATAGTTTAAATTTGCAAAGGACTAATGCTTTATGAAATATGTATTACTTCTGTTGTATTATTTTTACTGAGTTTAAAATTTTAATTTTATAGAATATTCTTATAATCCTACGCACTTTTTGGGATTCTCGGAAAAAAAATTTATTCAAAAATATTTTAAATTGTCAGCTATTTTTTATTAAATTTTACATTTAGGATAAAAAGATCGGTATTTGACGCTGAAATAGCATTGCTTACAGTTTGAAAAAAAAAACGCGTTAGAAATACGAGATGAGGTTCACGAGATAAAAATCATTCTAGAAATAAATCTTGATAGAAAAGCCAATTATACGTATTATTAAAAGAAAGAAAAAATGTACAATTACTTCATAGATTTTCTAACAAGTGGTTGAGACATTTATGATTTTTTTTTTAACATTCTATTATAACAGTTTCTGTAAAAAAATTTGGTAAGAAAATTTAAAAAAATAAAAGTTGTAACATTTTTTAAATATAGTTCTAGATTTAAAGTAAAAGTTGAACTTTTATTTATTTTAGTTTTAAAAACAAAATACACGTTAAATGAAAAATAAAAAATAATTTGGGCTTAGATCAGAGTCATGATTTATCTTAAAGGAATTACTTGATACAGATATGACGTTTGTTAGAGATGCTAAGAAAATATAATTTTTGGCAAAATCAATAGAATTTATGGGTCAAAGTTTTTTTTTTAAATAAAAGTTCTCTTGCTAGGAAAATAGTTTTAAAAAAAGATTTTTTTTAATTCGTTAAGTATTCATATTAATATAATATTTCTGTATCGTATTTACTTCTTTAATCAAGTAGTATCGATAATTGAGGTACTGGATAATTATTAGATCATTCACAAAATTAATGACTTTTTTTTTATTTCCTTGAAGTTAATTCCGTGACAACAATTATTTTTATATATATATTTTTCGGAGGAAATTAAAATATTTTAGATAATTAAAAGAGATTGATTTCTGAAAGATGACAGCTATACTTTTGTAATCAGTCGCAAATGAGCAAGAACAGGTGTGATCGAAATCGAGTGATAGATCTCGATATATCGATATTGATAGATCTTCAGTGGATAGATTTTGGAAGGTCTCTACGTTATGGATATACGACAACTATGCTATACCGTACCTTGAAGATTCCGTACATGGTGATGGTTGGTTGTTGGTTGGTTGGTGGTTGTTGAGAGAAGAAGAAACAACTGATACCCTTCCATGGCCTGGCCGAGGTATATATACAAGAAGTGGAGGGCCTACTCCCCTCTATCCTTTGGTGAGGGGTTGTTGTTACCGCCCCTCCTCGACCGCCTTTCTCGAATCGATCTTACCACGGCCCCTCAAGGACTTGGTCAGGACATGTCGCCTTTGAAGTGTATTTTCGGAAATATATAAGTTATAATATATAATAAATAATAGTCGAACCTGTATGCATCGAACGCATAGGTTCATTGAAAAAAAGACGCTGCACATTATTCCACAATGGTTTATTATTTCCAAACAATTGTACATCTAAAGTAACATTACTTTCGAGTTACAAAGAAAAATAAATAAAAGGTGATTCCAATTATTGGACTAAACTTTTTTTTTTTAATCATTAGTAATATGCTAAAAAAATAGCATTACTTCAGTAACACATTCAAAATTTAAAAAACCAAACAAAGGATATAAAATTTGGAGTAGAACATATTTAAAAAAAACAGAGACCATATCGTTGCTCCTAATTGTCCAATTTTAACGATTTTTTTTTTTTGTCTAGGAAATTTCCTAAACTTTTAATAAATCATATACAACATCCCTAAACAAGATTATACTTTTTGAGTTATTCGGAATTAAATTTTAGCATCCCTCGTAACTTTTTTTCCAGCTTCTTTTCGTTGAAGTATGTTACATAGATAAATTTAAAGGGCGTAGAGAAAATGACGTTTGCGAAGTTTCATTGAAATCGCTACATTCGTTTAGGCGCTACAGTCCATAGCAACGCAGGTTTTCCGGCCGCCATTTTGAAAGTAAAAGGTGGATAATAATGTCGATGAAAGAGGATCATCCTCGGGTGACCTCTGATTTTATATCCAAATTTGAAAAAAATCGGTCCAGTAGTTTCGGAGAAAATGCGCGTACGACAGACGGACAAAAAAAATTTTATTCGTTTTTCGAATTGTACGCATTCTGAAACGTGAAACCTTAAATTTTGAGAGGGGGTTAAGTTTTGGAATGTTTTGCTCGATCACAATGGTTGATTATTGAAAATAATAAACCAAAAAATTAATGTACAGGTTGCAACTTTATATTATTCTTATACTTTAACAAATTTACAATTGATAAGTCAAATATAAATGAAAGTGATAAGTAAGGCCAGATATTAAGATCTTAATTTTCCAATTAGATAAATAGTTTATTGACTAATATATACATCTTTTAGCCATGTAATTTGGCTCATTTGGTGTTAATTATTGTTAGTATTGAATGACAATGAAAGCATATATAAACAGATATAAATACATATACATAGGTAAATTCTTATTGTTTACTATAACATCTTAATATAATTTGATTATACAGCGAATTAAATTTTTAGTTAATACTCATTACTTATGTACTCACTCCTTGCAAGAAATTCGAAATTAAAACTTAGACAGAAATTGAATACGTATACTTACCTACTTAAGGCTATTTGGACCTACGCTTCACATATATACGGGATAGCCAAAAAGACTCACATACGTAAATTACAGACCTTTCAATCTAAAACTTTCAGGACTATCACCAAAGCTCTCTGGTACGTCAGTAACATTACTCTACATACAGATGCCACAGTTAACGACCACAACGAACATACTACAAAAGATTTCATAATAACTTACACGGACACAACTGACATGCCCGATAGCACCCGAAGGAGGCTTAAAAGAAGATTGGATGAGGGATCTCCTCCACTAACTATAAATATTACACTCAAGACAGGAAGGACGCCGCTGGGTATTCCTCTCCCTCACGTCTATTCCAAGACCAATCTTCTACATCTTGATATCACACTCGCTGATTGTCAGAACTTCTGACAGGTGTGACTAGAAGAATCTAGTTAAAAAAAAAAAAAAAATTATTCTTAATGAATAATTTAATAGTTATTCTTAATACAACATAAAAAAGTGTACGTCTTAATATGATTTAAAAATATAACGAATTAACGTTCATTTATACATAATTCAATTATAAAATATGATAAGTTTAGTCGAAGCATTATGCATGGAACGCATAGGTTCATTGAAAAAAAAATTAATGTACAGATTGCAACTTTATATTATTTTTATACCTTAGCAAATTCATAATTGATAAGTAAATTAGGAAAGGTGATATGTAAGGCATGTATCTTAAGATCTTTTAAGATTTTCCAATTAATATATCGTAAAAATCAATTGTTTGACCTGATGGTTTGTTTCTTCCAGTCTTGTTTGATATTTCTGGTGCTGTATATCAGATACATTATAAAATCTTTCGGAGAAATTTCTCGGTTCTGTTTTTTCTCTTTATTTTTTGATTGCCCATCAAGGCCTCACCTCTATCTTGATAATATTTTTGTAAAACTAACTCAAAATCTATATTTTGCCATAAATTATGCTATATTCATTATTGGTTCAATATTTTAAAGAATCGTAAAATTTTATTTGGAATAAAATAATCCGGTAATTCACAAAGTAGACAAAGAAAAGATATTAAACACATATTCGAATCTTTTCCGCCTCCTAAAACAGTAGTTTGTAAAAATTAAAAATTGTTTTTAATTTTTCTAATTTCCCCGTCAACATCAATCAATCACTATATATTTTTTTATTATTAACCATTATCTGTCGTATAATATTATATCTCTGATTGTATTTTTTTTAAAGATCATTTCTGACGATGACCCACATGTTTGGGTTGAAACGTCGGCACTAATAAAAACTATATAATGACCGCGTCCTGGATCACTCGTAAAATTTTATTGATCTTATATTTATAAATTTAGTTATCTTGAACAAATTTAACAAGGCATAAAGTTTATCAAATTTCTCTTTTAGCAATCCTTTTTGAAATTCAATTTTGGAATTGCTGAAATCTCTTGCTTGTGTTTTCTGAAATGTGGGACCAATAGAGGAGTATCGTAGAGAAGAGAAGATCGAAGAATGCTTTTGTAGGTGAGTAATTTTAATCTGAGGCTCAGGTTTGGGTGGTCTTTTATCTTACTTTTGATAGTTTTGAAGTTCAATGAGCGGTAAATTTTAGATGTCTGTCAAATTTATTTCCTAGATAGACCAATTTCTTGATATCTTTTTAAGATGTTGAACTATGTATTAAAAATAACCTATAGTTTACAATTTTTATTTGTAGACTATAAACATTATTAAACATGAAAACATAAATGAAATATATGAAAAATATACAGGAAGTGCCGTAAGTAATAGAAAATATTTATAGGAGAGGCAGCAGACATCATGAGCTACAAAAACGTTTGTATAAACAATGGTCCAATTTTCAGTGGAAAAGTGGGAAACTTAAATTTAAAGTTTGTGTTGTTAAGTCACATAGTAAAAAGCAATAATTAAAAAATGGTTAATGATGTAGAGACGGTTGACCGTTGATATAATATGAGAAGGAGTTAGTCGAGGTTGCGGTCAAATAAATGAAAAAATTAAAATATATAAATTATTTTAATTTTTGCCGACGTTTCGACCCACTTTTTTTTTTTCCTCAACATGTTTTGTATCTTTTGTAGCCCTGAAGACGACCTGCCAAGTGGGTCGAAACGTCGGCAAAAATTAAAATAATTTATATATTTAAATTTTTTTATTTATTTGACCGCAACCTCGACTAACTCCTTCTCGTAAAAAATGGTTAATTTAAGTAATTACTAATTACTGTATTGTAAACTAGATAAAATTTACTTCAAAGCAAACTTATGTTTGTCATTGCTAAAACCATTTTAAGAGGACCTTTGAGCAACTAACTTCAGCTATGTCCCGTTTTAAAAAAAAATCATAAATTATTCACAGTTTTTTTTATCATCCTCCAAATTTACTATAGAAACCAAACTTTTAGAAAAACTTCCTCATTTAATAAGCTTTAAGCCCATATTAATTAAGTTGAGGTTTATTAGAAAAAATTATGAGATTCACCTCAAGTTATCTAAACAAATGATGTGATTTAGAAAACAACTACAATAAATTGTTGCAATGCTTATATTTCTTGTTTTTCCATGATCTGAGATGTATTATAATAAAGATACCTGCCAAATTAAACTTTTTATTTATAAAAATATACATCTTAATACTATAGTATTATAATACATTTAGGTGACACGGCCATTAATATCCTTGGATAACTGTACTTCTTATTAAGTGATAACATTTACTGACAAAAATAGGACAGTCATGCAAAATATAAGTCAGACGAAACCTTCTTAAATAAAATTAGCATTGTTCTTCTTCAGTTAAAAACTATGCCAATCTGTAGTGTGTACTTTTGATTTTGTCATAGTTCAAAAGTGTATCTTCTAAAATAAAATTTATGAAGCTGTCGTCCTTTAGTTATTTGTTCTCATTGTCTATTCCAAGTATTTATGACGTTGGTAAAAATATATTTTTTTTATGTGTAATAAGAGGAGTTTTGTCATAGGTTATAGGCAGAAAGCTGTTTCACGAAGCAGCTTTTTTAGGGGGTCTCAGAGAGGGGAGGGATTTAGGGAGAAGCCTCCCCCTTCTCTCCAAAATGGTAAAATATAACGAAGTCTTACGAAAAAAGTATTAAAAAATAATCTTTAAAAGTATTATTGTTCGTGCAGTTACATTTAATATAAGCTAAGTGGTTACTTAAACACTTTTTTTTTCTGTTCTGCCCTACCTTGCCTTTTAGGCTATATAGGATTTTCCCGGGCCGAGAGGTGAGGGCGGAGAATTTAAAATCCTCCCCGCCACCGGTACGTGAACTCGTACTTTTTAATGTTCTCAAATCTGTTATCCGGTTAATTTTAATTTTAAGTGTTAATTCGTGCTTCATCTGTTAATCTGTATATATGTATATTATATAAGCCAATTTATACAGATGCATGTTGTTTTATATACAGGTTAAGAGTTGTGTAATTAAGAAAATAGCAAAAAATAAAAGGAAAGTAATATATATTCTTAAAGAAAATTTAATATCAAACGATTTTTTCCTCATGAAAGTTTTGTAAAATACAAAAATAAGGAGTTAGAGAGTGAAACAATGATAATAAT